AAAAGGGATTTACTAACTTGAATACATTTTTTTACTACTTTTGTTTCAAAAAAAATAATTCACATTGTATTTTAAGATATGGATAATACCGACATTACAAATATTAAAATATAATATAAATTATTTCTTTAGAACAGATGGAGTACCATTTATTATTATTTGAGTCACCAAACCAATAATGTTTAACTTGCGACATGCAAATTTATCGACTGTTTTTGCCTCTTAGTTGGACATAATGATGATGAATTAAGGATGATATCTTTGAACAACAATCCATCCACTGTTAAAATGAGTATCATTGTACAATTTATATATATTGTTGAAAAATACTTAAATAGGAATAACGAAATTATTACACTATATATTATCTTCAATCTACCCTCATTATAACAAATAATAGTTGTTGTCATTAATGCTATTTTTAAGGGTAATTTTTGAGAATTTTTGAGTAAAATTAAATTGCAATCTAAAAATGACATCTATTTTAAATTTTCTTCATTTTACTAAAAGGACTTTTATTTGAAAATTGAGGGAGTACACTATTTCTTTGTGCCTAACTAGTTAGAAAGAAATAACACACAACAATAAAGAGAACACTTTTAAACACCCCCAAAAAAAAAGAGAGAGAGAATTTCCAAATTGTTATTTCCATTTTTGTTACATTTTCCAGGTCTAATGCGTGTCTGTACGTACAATGTGTACGTGTGCCCCGCGTACAGATGCACATAAACTTATTATTAAGGATTTGGGCTCATAAAAAAAGTAGCCATAATCAAGAATAGGTCTTCATTAGTTACAGAAGATATATTATAATTTATAAGATAAGTTTCCATAAATTTTTAATTTACGAATTATGTAAAAATAGTAAAATTATATATTTACGGCCACTTTCTATAAGGTCAATTATGTAAACATATGATACAATAAGTTTCCATAAATTTTTAATTTACGAATTATGTAAAAATAGTAAAATTATATATTTACGGCCACTTTCTATAAGGTCAATTATGTAAACATATGATACAAAATTTAAATATATAGCTTAGTTTTCCTGTAAAATCCAGGATTTTACGGTACGCAGTTAAAATTTAGGTTCAGAACATATTAATTTTGTGCTGCTTCATTAGTTTGAAACTTAACGAAGTAAGAGAGAACATCAATTTGGACGGTGCCTTTGGTATACCAGTGGTGGGGCTCAAACCTTAATTTAATTCTATCTTTGACCATCTTAATTCTAACTGTAAAAGTTATAAGTGATCCTAGCTAATTCAATTCTGAGTACACCAACCATTGACTGATGATGACTTATAAATTCAGAGCCAAGACGTAGGGAATATTATATCTCAACTTGATGGGTGCATGTGTTTCCTTCTATCCATGTGGGACAAAGGAACATGAGGTCATCTTCTTTCTTTTATTCATTTAACACGCCCTTCTCAAGTCTAATGGGTTTGGACGGGTAATTTTATACTCCCTCCGTCCCATAATTATTGTCCACTTTGCCCAAAAAATTTTGTCCCAAAATTATTGTCCAATTTGATTTTTTATGGATCAAGTTACACATTTGTCCTTAGTAAAAAATATTATCCATAAAATCTTAATAGTTAAACAATTACTTATGTAGGGGTATATCCGGTTGTTTAAGGTAAAATATAGTTAAGTTTGACCAAAAATAAAATATTTCATTTTAGTAAAATCGGACAATAATTATGGGACGGAGGGAGTATATTTTTTTCTGATTTTGTTCAATCTTGCGATCGGTTATTTTTCGGATAAACCGTCGGCTGCCGGGCCAGTTAAAGTTCAAAGTCAAACCTCAGATTTCTTCCGTGGGTTGACCAAAGTTTCAAGATCCAATCTGGAATAGTCCACCTCGCCCCACAAGTCCCACAGGTCCGCGGATTAAAACCCGCTCTGATACCATCTTGAAGGCCCAAATATAAGCCTACATGTGGTTCCACCTCAAAACCAATTGGTGATGAGGAGAGTAACACATGGGGTATGTATGTTGGATTCAAGTGTTTCCTTTTATCCATGTGGGACAAAGAAACTTGAGCTCATTTTCTTTCTTTCATTCATTTAACAGTTTTTCATTGAATTAATATTGATTTAATATTAATATAGCCGGCCTATGGGTAATAAATGGAAGACATAGAAAATATGAAGAAAGAGTTTTATTTTATTTTTTTCAAAAAAAAAACCTATTTCTCAGAGTTAACACAGTAATGCTCAATGAAAGTCATAATACATCGTGTAATGTTTGGGTAACAGGTACATTTTGTATAATGTTGCGATAGTAAAAAGGTTTCATATATATGGGTAAATTAAGACATGAAATATGATCTGTGGTAATACTCTAAAGATTTATAAATATAAAATTCTTATTTTAAGGCAAAAAAAGTGTAGAACTTATAACATTATTCACTTAAATAAATTATAAACCGCTTTTTCTTCCCCTTTCTGGTGAAGCATATTTTCAAAGTAGCAATAAATCAAGCTTATGGCATCAGCCATGCATTCCAGTTCCATATACAAGCTTCAAGTTCTTGGAATGTCACCCATAGTGAAAAAAGAAAATGCATGATCGATGCGATACGCAAAATTCCCATATTTTATGCAGCCGAAATTTGCAAGATTATTATATGTCCGTTTACACATGGGATGGAAAGACAGTCACGATAATGACAAAAACAATAGATTATTTGTTTAGTTCATATTAATTTCTTGGTCTTCTTGTCTTTTTCAAAGGCGAGTGCTAATATTTCCACATTCACTATGACCAATTAACTTTTTGTTTACAAAAAAAAAAAATTTTGAATTTTATGAGGCAATGAAAACTGTTTTTGAAGATTTATACCAAGCACCTTATATATAATTGGTGAATCTCCTCAACCTTGAAGGTAGCATGGAAGAGGGTTGATACTTATTCTTTTTTTTTCCATTTGAATTGGATATGAAAATTGATTGTTATCACTTGGAAATGGATACCACAAATTTGGAGTCTCAATCAACTTGACAAATGTGAGAGTCAATCCGATTGGAATCATGACTTACTTCTCAACTAATACCATATTGTCTTGTCCTTAATCCACTCCAGCTAATACTAGTAGTATAGTACGTAAATAAAGTACAGTAATTTAATATGCAAAAGAGGGAGACGAAAAGTCTATGAAGGCAAGCTGCAAACCCTAAAATATTCCAAGATGAATTGGACAAGTTGGACATTTAACAATATTTGTTCTACTGGGTCAGTTATGGATAGATACATGAATGATGATCGATCGTTATTGATTACCTGGGGGTTCACCAATGTTAATGTACGTAACACAAACAACGTCAGACGAAAAAAAATTAATAATAATAAAAAAGCCAACCCAAAGAAAAGAATAGAATTTGTATGTAGGTCAATTCACTAGATCACGATGTTGACATTTTGTAGATGACATGAAACGAGAAGGAATGCACGTGAGAGCAGGCACGGGAAAAATGTTAATTTCCTTCCCCTTTTTTTCTTTTTTTTTTTAACTATTTTATTTTAGAAAGATAGTCTAAATTATAATTTAATATTTATATTATTTTTTATTCATTGCAAATCTAAAATAAGACTATTTTCACTTAATGGATACATGAATTATGAGATATTTGAATCAAGCATATTACACAGTAAGACTAATCCATTTAATGGCAACGTGTATCGATCTTACTACACATCACAATATAATTTATGCATCGAAATTTCTCTATTAATTAAAACCTCCATAAATTAATACACTTGGGCCTCTAAAAATTTATTAATTTACAGATTTATTAATTTATCGATAAATTAATAATTATTAATTTATAGATAAATTAATATTTTATTAATGTAAAGAGTTTTTTCAGTCGTATAATTTAGAAAATACAAAATTTTAATATTTTCACACCAAAAAAAATCCGTTGCAGCCCTGGCCATAGCATTATAAATTTTTTAATGGACCAAAAACATGATAATTCAAACATAAATAAAAATATTAAGTCAAAATTTAAGTTAATCTTCAAATCTAATTTATTATTTTAGGTATTTATTAATTTATGAAATTTTTGGGACCTATATTTATATAGGAGATTCTTGAAAAATTATTATCTTATAAATTAATCGAGTTTTTTATTTTATTTTTTTGTACTGGTCCGGGTTGACTGTAATCTAGAGAAAAATATAATTTAATAGAATTTATTAATTAATAGAAAATTAATTTATAGAGATTTGACTGTAATTAAGTTGCCAAGTCGATCAAATGAAGCGACACCTAGACAGAAAAGATCATGTAATTGCATGGAAAGTTATTCATTCTTCTCTTCGAAGACGTATGATGCCAAGATTATTTTTTGGATTGGGGTTTTCAAATTTCCATTCATTTCTTAACCCAGATCTCATCTTTATTTTGTATGTCAATTATTGAAGTTTTTGTAGTTACATGCTTTGCAATATTTGCCACTGCGCTTTTATAATTTAATTATTATTGTGTGAAACCACCGATATTAAGGACTAACAAACACTATAACTGTAGAGAAGAACCCTTCTAGGTTCTAAGTTCTAACAACCGTCCGAGGCTTTCCCAGATGTATTATTCCATTTACTTGGTAACTAATTCGAGAGATTTTTTTTTGGGGTAGTTCATTTATAAGATCTGAAATGTCAATAAACAATAATATGCACATTCAAAACAATTAAGTTTACTTATACACTCTTTTTGTCTCAAAAAATAATTTAGTAATTTTATAATTCAATATGGACTATATTTTTTAGAATGGATGGAATAATTTCTAGAGGAATTTTTCCTCCCTTCTCCATCGCAATAATTAATAAGGTAGAACCATTTTAAGTAGTGGAAATTACAATTACAATTTCTTTACGCAGATGAGAGAAAGATATTTACAATATCCTCTTCCTAACTATTTATACAAATTCACAAACTACAATTTAAACTGATTTTGTGAGAAGGAAAGATCAAATCATTTGAGTTTTGCTATATCAGAACCAAAAAGAAGTCTTATTTATATTTTAAGACAGATGAAGTATTTTTAATATACACGCTTTAACTATATTATAACAAAACACAGGGAGAGGGCATAGCTTCTATACATTCAACATATTAATATACTGGAGAATGCCTTGAAAGAAAATTAAAGAAGCTTTTGAAGCCATGAAATAACTGAGAAATACACCATTCTCTTAATTAGAAGATGCAATGTCGGTTAAGTCGGGCAACCAGAAGTCCCAATCATTAATCTCATCCAGACAAAGGGTGCTAAGGCTTGTTGCATGGAATTGCTGATCATGATCAATATTGTGGGATGCTGAAGAATCGCCCGCCATGGTAAAGGGTTGACTGGTCAAGAAGTCATAATCATCAAGGACTTTCATGATTGACTCCAATGAACTCATTATATCCTCAGAAGCCCAGTCGTCTAGCAGCACTAATCCATCAAAATGTGGTGGAAGAAGATTATTATCGTTGTTGTGATCGTAGCTTGAAGATGGTACTTGATCTGGACTTATGCTATGAGTAGGTTGATCAACAACAACAACAACATCAGCAGCAATCTTGTTGTAATCATTACTGATCTCCGTCGGTGAATAAGAAGAAGAAGATTCTAGGTTAAAATTGTTTTGATCTGAAACATCATCATTGATATTGTGTTGGGGTGAATAGCTTTCACAACAAGTCTCCTGATCAGTTGTTGTGGTTGATGATGAGTTGGAATATTCTTCCTTCCTCTTCATCATCATCATGGCCACTTTCTTTCTCATCATATCGGTGTGCCAGTGATTCTTGATGTCATTGTCAGTTCTTCCGGGAAATTTTGATGCAATCACTGACCATCTGAAATTAATATACAGAGAGACCGATAAATTATTGGGTTAATTAAAACTCCTTTCTTCCTGAAATTATTGTCCATGCTGGATTTTCATTTTTAATACGAATTAAACTAAAACTAAAAATCTAAACTGGACAATAATTTTGGGACACTGCAAGTAGTTATTACTCACAAGTCACAAGGAAAGTATAAACTAGGTTAACCTAATTAAATTATGATGAGTCAAAAGACAAATGTATTATGAATACACTACATTGATTACATACTTGTTGCCATATTGCTGATGCAATTTGAGAATGCGATCCTCCTCTTCAGGGGTATAATCTCCCCGTCTCACCCCTGTCTTCAGATAATTCTCCCATCTTAATCTGCAACTTTTCCCACATCGATTCAATCCTGACCAAACAAACATATTACACACACGTCACCCAAGATCTTGTTAATCAGTTATTAAGGTGCTGCATAATATTGTACCATAGAAACCCTAAATCTTCACACATGTAAGAGAACCATATCCATTTCTTCTTCTTTTTTCTTCTTTTTTCCTGGGTACAAAATGGGAGGATATATATCGTAATTATAAAGGAAAAAGATGGAAGTTCCAGTACAGTACTATTAATTTGGGTAATAAAGTTAGATTTTCGCTTACCGGCGAATTTAGGGAGCTGCCGCCAGTTGGGAAAGATGCCACGTTTAAGGATATAAGCGCTCAGAAGATCATCTTCTTCTTTACTCCACTTACCTTTCTTCTTTCCATACTCGTCAATCCACGGGCCTCTCACCATTTCTAGCGGGAAGGAATCCTAATTAATTAACTAAGCTACTACTTGCTAAATTCGGGCAATTAATATATAATATAGTATATTCTTAGAAGATCTTGTAGATGCATTGTTACCTTTCACTGAATATATATATATATATATATATATATATATATATATATTGTGCTATATATGAGGATGATGAAGCTCTCGCTCTCGCGTGAGTGTTATATATAGACCGTACTACAAAGTTCCACTATAAGAAAGAATTGAAACAAAAGAGAAGAGAAAAGACCGCGTCATTACACTAAATAAATGATTAAAAAAATGTCATCAACTCCAGACCGTGTTTTTAGCCACTTGTAATTAAGTATTTAAGTATATATCATATATACAAGTATCATAACCATCCTCAGGAGAAAGGAGATAAAAAAAAATTAAATAAATAAAGAAGACAAGAAAACAAAGGATAGAGAAAGGGATAAAGAAGACAAGAAATTAATAAGAAAAGCAAAGGGATAGAGAAAGAGAATAATGAGCGGACAAGAAAACAACTAAATACACGTCACGTTACTAGTGGGTCAAAATCAACTATTTTGAATCATGATCACGTACTCAAAACCAAAACCTATTCGAGACCTGTATTGACCCCTAATCTATTCCTTTGCAAAAAAAAAAAAGATAAATACATAATCAATAGATAAAAAACAAGTTGAACTGGTCGAAGATTGTTGGAGTTTAGCGACTGCATGGGTTTCTCAAATCTTAATTTGGTGCATGAAATCGATAATTAGTAACAATGTTGCATTGTTGTTGAAAAAACTTGTGCCTGTGCCATTCATATAATACTCCTTACGTCCCGACTACACCAGACTCCGCTTTCAGTAAATAAGTATACACACCTTGATTTCCTTTAAAAAAAAATAAAAAAAATTGATTGCTCCATATTAGAGTTGTTAGTGGAACCATATAGCTTTCTTTTTTTCTCTAATTAGATTTTGTTTCTAAAGTTCATAGAGTAAATTATTTCCTAGAAGAATAAGGCTAAGAAGGAAACAGGTGTGTGCTAGGTTTTAATGAAAAACATGCCACATTAAACATTGAAGACGACTCACGAGGGGGAAAAACCAAGAAGAATACATCTCATGAAGAGCATTGTTTTTTATTTGCCCCTTTTAGGGAAAAGAAAAAAAATCTTAGAATAATTTGATCCTTGAATGTGTGGAAGAGTTGGAAACTTTATGTGAGGAATTATAACCCTGAGAGCTCTAGTTTTTTTAATTTGACGAGAGTGATCCAAACAATATTATCCGTATTTCTGAAATGATTATCATATTTAGATTTTCTCTTTTAGTATAAATTAAGTAATTTCTATTACTTTTTATTTTTCAAAATATTTGTTCAGCTCAACATTTTATTTTTAATATAAAATATATTTCCTCTGTCCCAAAATGATTGTGTTGTTTGATTTTTCATTCTTATTAGAAAAGTAAAGTAAAAATTTCGAATTAGACAATCATTTTTGAACGAAGAAAGTACTAAAAATGAAAATTTCAAATTGAACAATTGGAGACATATATGAATATTTGTTTTTATCTGAAAGACGTGTACGCCCCAGTTAAAGAGATTATACTCCCTCTGTCCCAAAATTATTATCCAGTTTGAGATTTCATTTTTAGTACAATTTGAACTAGAAATGATAACTCAAACTGGACAATAATTATGGGACGGAGGAAGTATTAATTATTACAAGTTGAATCGCATTAAATAATAAGGGGTTTAGGAGCGTGATGTGAATCTGTCCATTGCATTAACGCATAAGCCATTTATCACTGGCGACTTTTTGGCATGTATCTCTGTGCGTTTTCTTGTTCTTTTAGTTTCTTCCTGAAAAAGAAATAAAAAAGTTTCTTTGTTTTTACCGCTATTCACCTGGTCACTTATGCTTGACTCGCTTTTGCTTTCGCTTTCTTTTCTGTTTTGGAATTTCCTTTTTGGTCGTTTTTTGGTCTGTAGGGTTTTGGATCTTGGTGGTTGACTTCCAAAAGACTTAGACCCGAAAAGATTGGTTGGTCATAATTCATGCCAGTTAAGGATGAACTAATCTCTGATTAATGATAAAATATTAAATCAGTACTCGTGTCACTGATGGCCGGTGATATTCTCAATATATATGTGCTCTGCTGGTTTTTTTCTTATATCGTTACGCACTTCGTATGTGAAATGATTTTTTTTTTTTTTACTAAATTCTACTTTTGCAATTGTTCAATCCATCACAAAAAATTATTTATTTTATCATACTTTTGTAATTCACAAAAAGTAGAATTTTTCACTTTAGCGGGAGGAGAGGAGAAATATATAGAGACATTTATATCATATTGTGTTAACGGTAGTTGAAAATGATTAGTTGAGATAGAAAGGATTAAACTATTTCTAATTATCAGGGAAATCCATTAGTGCTACTCATTGTGCTGAAGATATAGAAAGGGGATGTGTTTAACATTTTTAGTATTAAAAATGTTAACTTCTAATTTTCTGTTTTGCATTATCTCCATCTCTGCCTCAAAACGTTAATACATAAAATATCAAAACTCAATGTGAATTAACTTATTGAGACATAAAAAGAGTTAAAATTTTCAAAAAAATTCTTTTATTTTCTTTATATCGTCTCACCATTTCTTTTTATTGTGTACTTTAAACCAGTGATATTATCTATATGAAATACTAAATTTAGATAATATTACAGAAAATATAACACTAAAGTGTCGCACAAATCTTTTCATCAAAGATGGGGAGGATTGTAAATCTGTGATTTTGACCCGTTAACATATGAAAGTTCGATTTAAAAGCTGAATGTTAAAGAGTCACCTCGAAGTGGAAGGACCGACCAAACATTTTGATCTAATCGAATATACAGTACAACCGAAAACAGAAAGGCGTATATATTTAGTCCCCATTTCATTTGAATAGTTTAGTAGATCGGACCGAAAGAGTAAGAAATTCTTGTCTCACTTAAATAGCATTTTTAAGGACAAATTTAACAATCACTTCATGTGCGGCTTCAGGAGCTCATATGCATCATCTTCTAGATCATCAAAGTTTCCTAAAAGGATTACTTATAGTTTACTATATTTTATATTTCCTTCATTCAAAACAGAGATTCAGAGAAAACCTAGCTAAAAAAAAAAGAGGTCCACTAGAATCCCATAACGTCATAATTTGTAAGCTGAACAATTTATTTCCATGTCCTGAAAGAGAAGGAAGTAAAAAAATTGCTGATGCAATACTCTCAAGATTGTAACTTGATAAACTCTTTCTTGTTTAAAACCTTCTTCTTCCCTTACATCTAGGATAATTCTTTGAAGTGAATCACAAATGTCATGGAAACCACTGAAAATCAGAAATGCATGGGTGTATCACAGATGTCAAATATCTTCAAAACCATACCGTTTTCCTTCTTGCCTCCTCTTCTCTTATCCCTCTGTTTTATTGTCAACCAGTTTCTGCAACACTTTCAAATGAGTTACTTGGTTTGCTACTTTCCAGCAAGATGGTCAAATGATGAAGTCCTTCTCTGAACTACGTTGAAAAAAGGAGGGAATCTGAACATTACCAGTTATTTCTGTACATTGAACGATAGGAAGCAAAGATATCTCTCTTCAATATGACTGAACAAGATGCAATACAGACTTCCTTTCGGGCATGCTTGGAATGGCCCCCTTGACTTGAACACATAGAGAAGCAGCTGCAGCTGTAAACAAAGGTCAAAAACCGTCAGACACAGCAGTTAGTAACTTGAAATATGAAAAATGGAACCATGGATACCAGCAAACTCCAAGCACTCCTTTCTGGACTTCCCCTCCACAAGTGCCACGGCAAAGGCTGCTGTAAATGTATCACCAGCTCCAGTCGTATCTACAACTTTAGGAGCAGATATGATCGGCTGTCTAATTGGTGCTTCTCCTTCAGTGAAAAGAGCTGATCCCTTGGCACCGAGTTTCACAAGGACTTGCTTGACCCCCTGGAAACAAAAGCCGGAAAATTGATGATTTATAACATAAAAACGCATTAACCCTTGACAACAGCATCCTTGAGGATTTGAGATCAAACCATTTCATGGCATTTTCCCACTGCTTTCTTGATCTGCTCAAAATCTTCTGTTGGCATACTTGTCAAACGGGCAAGTTCAGTTTCATTTGGGCTGAGGATATCAACAGTAGCAACTAGCTCACGAGGGATTGGTGAATCCACTCCCCCAGCATCCAAGATAACTGGAACACCAGCATTTCTGGCAGCCTAACAACATAATAAAATTATCAAATGCCCTAATCTTATAAATAACTCAGCATTAACTCAAACCAAATTCCCCAGAAGCAAATCGTCTCACAAGAAGAGTAGTTACTGAAAGTAAAGCGGTCAGTTCAGAAAACTGACAACAAGATTTTCTGTCCTTAATTCTTAGTTGAAGAGAGCATATGTGGCACTCTTATCAACCGATATAGGATACCAGTCCGACATTACTAAAAGACCATTTCTTCAATTATGGATCAAATAAATGCACTCACTAGTGTGCAAGGGATGCGTGACCTGGATTAGAAAGTCTTCATAGTTCACAGGCCAAGGGTCATTTTAGTTCAATGGACTCCTCATTTTCAAAAACAAAAAAATATATCTAATTTTAGAAACTAAGTTCCTTATCCAACAGGATGAATTCAAGCAGCAAACAAGCTACAACGAATAAGTGACTTTTTCTTCAGCAGTTGAAGCCTTGCAGGTTATCCATCTAAAGTTCCAAATATGATATGAGTATTGCTCTTAAGTATCTATAGCTTATCATATTAAGGTTCTAAACATTATGAAAATATTATCCGGATGTAGCTGCAGACAGCTTTGTTTCAAGATGCATGAGTACCATCAGCATCTTAAAATCCTAAGACAAAATTCTGAGCCAGAATGGCGTCCTAGACTTCCTACAGGCTTCCAACTACTCTTCTCTACGGAAACCGCTTCTTGGATTTTGTGGGAAGAAAAAAGTCTCCAGTTATCTCATCACACTGAAAATGGCAGGGCTTGGCATGAATCACAGGACAGAAAGATTTTGTGTACTAGCAATATAGGTCTACGGCAGCTCAAACAATCAGTCTACAATCTTTTTACTCCAAAAACAGAAATCTAAGAACAATGCAGTTTTCTATCCTACCAAAGCATCAATGCCATTACAATATCTGAACCAAAATCATGAGTAGCATGATCATATGAGAAACAATAAATTGGCGTAGCAAAACTTTCAATTGAGATTCGCATTTTATCCAACACAAAAGTAATTCAAGATCATCCCTTTCCAAGAGAACTCATAAATTCAAGTATTAACAGAAAGTAAATTCCACAACTTTATAAAGAAAGAGCTGACCTTTGCAACTTGAATGTTGACAGAATCGGGAATCTCCCTCTGAAGCAAAAGGATCCCAGCATTTTTCACAATCTCCAAATTCTCATCAGAGAGATTATTAGGCCAGTAGGACATATTAGCACCACCAACAATAATAATCGAATTCTGCCCATCTGATTGCAGCATCACCACAGCATGCCCAGTGGGAGCATCAGAAACAGTTCTCAAGTAATCAATATGAACCCCACCATCCTCAAGTGCTTCACTGATCAATTTCCCATGAGCGTCTTCCCCGACTTGCCCAACAAAATAAGTTGGGTACGCCAATTTGCCCCCACAAACAGCCTGATTAGCCCCTTTCCCCCCGGCCAGAGTTTGTCCACTTTTGGCTGAAATTGTCTCGCCCTCTTTTGGCAGCCTATCAATCTCCACATATATATCTGCATTGGCGGATCCAACCACGACCAATGGCGGCTTGGTGTCCTTTTCAATTGGCTGATTTGGGCTTTTCGACGGGTTCAAGGCAAAGGAAGAAAGGGGCTTGACTTTTTCCGATGATGAATTTGTTCCCAGATGAATTCGGAAGTATATGTTTTGATGATGATTTACATTGCTTTGGTATGTGGGGATGTTGTTCGAAGCTATTGGGTTCCAGTTTCTTGTCGATGGTGAAATTGTTGCTAATCCTCTCATATTTCGATTTTCCCCTTCTGCTCTATCGTCACTTGACTTCTACTACTGTGCTAATCTTCTTCCTCAGTCTGAGTCAACATTGTTGTCACTTATGTACAGTTGTTAATGTGGATCAAGGCAGTTTGGGAAAAGGAAAATAATCCAGATAGATCTCGATCACGCTACTTCGGGTGCGTGAATGACAACCTCTCAGTTTTATCATTAGCGCAAATTAATACTTACTTATTATGGTATGGACAATATTTCCAAAAGAAAATATTATGGATAATAGTGAAAAGAGATAATCTCTTTATCTATTGTAATAAGTATCTTTTTAATATCCTTTCACTTTTCTGCAATGCTTATCTCTTTGTAGTTTTGCACTCTATATTGAATTTCTTGCTTAAATAATTGGAGTAGATTCTAAAATCAATAGTTCTTTTTTTTTAAAGAATCGAACGTAAATAAAACTGTATCATTTGATTGCTCCCTTTGATTAACAAAGAAGTTGTTTTCCTTTTCCCAACTACTTTTGGAGTCCTTTCATTTAGTTTTTAAAAAAGAAATAAAAAACCATGATTAATCCTTTTGGTTATCGAGAAATTATATTTCTCTTTACCAAAAAAAAAAGGAATGGATAAATGAGTTGAGTTGCTTGGCGTTTTGATTTACGAATTAGTAGGAGTTATATTTACAGGAACTAGTGTGTAAAGTGACCCTTCCATATGTAAAATTCATTTGAGAAGTTATATAGTATCATATGTATTTATTAAATTTATAATTAATATTAGATGATATTTATATAGGTTAGCGATATTACCAACGTAATAATTAGCTGCCGGAGCAAATATTTACATATTTTTCAAACTTACCCCTGTTAAGTCAAACCTAATCCATGTCCAAATTTGAAAGGTTTTTGGACTGTATTGATCATCTTTGAAAGAAAAACATTGATCCGGTGCTTGTACTCCCAAAAACTAGATTATTACATAAAAGATCTTCCAACTATTAGATGTACGCTCCATGAGATTGAAAAGCAAAATTGTTTCCTTTTGTTGCTAATATGCGATAGAATCTTTCCACAACTACAAACAAACTTAAGTGACAAAAGAGTAAGATCTTATTAAAAATTTAATTCATAATAAAAAATACTATCATCTCATAACTGAGAGAAAAAAAATCATTATTGGCAATGAAATGGTATAACCCTTGATTATAGTACTTAACAAACAGAAATTTCAGCAATCATGTTGGAAATAAGAATGTTTTGGAATGTTTATGAAACAAGATATCTCCAGCCAAAAATTAAAGAAAAAACACAACAATAGCGAAATAAACTAGTAAGAAATCATCACATCATATTTCCCAATCTGGTTGCAAAACCAGAAAACGTTGCTCAACCTAACCATGATTTCGGTGCCTGATGGGTGGAAATTGCTGATTTCTTACCAAGTTTGAATCTGATTTTTGCATCGAAATCTTGGATTATACATGGATGCTCTATAGAAAGTAAAATTTAACTTTTTTAAAAAAGGGATTAACAAGGTTGTTGATTATGGTGTGAAAAAGATTATAACAAGAAGAAGACCGCTCTGAGGGTTTGGAAATTGGAACGATAAAGAAGCAAAGAGAGCGAAGAATTAGTTTTGACTCGAAAGGGATAATTTTGACAAATGTGCAAATATTTGCTCTGCCAGCTAATAATTGTGCTGGCAATATCGTAAGCCATTTATATATCATAAGTTCAATTTTAAGATTTTAATTTCAAAATTTGAACAATGAGTTTTTATAGTGAATAAATTTAAAATGACATATATTGTCTTTGTCTAAACAACAACAAAAAAAACATTGGATATTGCAAAGAAGTTTTTTTAAAAATTTTTTTTGGCAAACTTAACCAAAGGTAAAACCATTAATTCTCCACAAATTTATAATTTGTTTCCAATTCCAAACCTTATTATAAAAAATTTTTATTTGTGTTTAACCTAATATTTTTGTTAATTGAAAAAAAAAATTTAAACATATATTTTCAAATTTATTATGTTCTTCTAATTATTAAGAAATATTAAAAAATAATTTTCAATTGAAAAAACGTAAAAAATAAAACTTATGACAAATCAATATGTCTTATAATAAGGACTGGACTCGGAGGAGTACCTCTGTTTGTAGTTATAACTTAATAGAGTTTAGTTTAGACATTTTATTTTATTTTTTTGGAAGGTGATAGTATGAGAAGTAAAGGAATTTCATTAGTTAATGTAATATGTGTCTGATTTGGATTAAGATTGTTAATTCCTAGTTTGTTTTATTCCTTTACCGAGGTTTTGAAGCCCTATTCAACAATAGAATCGGATGATTTGTTGTGCCTATATAAGTAGAGAGGTAAGTCCTTACTATTATTGTTTTCGCCAGCCATCAAATAAAAAAGCTTTGTTGCCAAATTGGAGTTCACGGACGAACACACCTCATCATCGCCGGTGACTGAGTCCGCAACCAGGTGTTTTGTTCTCTCCTTTTCATTCTATATATTAAATTTGAGAGTGAAAAATCGGAATCAAAAATCAATCTGGGAATATTCCTCTAAGGTAGAAATCGAGACAGGGTTTCTGCGTATTCTCTTGATTGGGAATTTTTTGGATTCAAGATGGAAGCCAATTTGGAAGCGAAGTAGAAAGAGATTGAAGAAGAGAGAGACCCTCAGGAGGAGGAAGATGGTGTTCTTCTGAGGAACAACAAATTCGCCAAGTTGTCGACGGCTCTGGATAAAGCAGAGCAGAAGACCAGAATGTATTGCCTTACAGTTGAAGTTACAGAAGGACATGGAAGCGAGAGAGAGGAGGAACATTGAATTGGGGAAGAAATTGAATAAGAAGAGCAGAGAGAGCGAGGGAATTTAGCAGGATTTGCAGCAGACCAATGAGAGGTTCACCAAGTTATCTGATGCTCTGTCTGTAGCACAACAGAAGATTAGAGAATGTGTGGAGAAGAGGTCTAAGATACAGAAGGAAATGCAGATGAAAGCAACCATATGAAAAATAGGCAACGTTGGTTGCTTTTCGTTCCAGCAAAATGTTTTTTGTTGCTATTGAGAGAATCCCTGTGATGATATATGTCCCCCAAATGATTCTCTATGACATTTATCTTAAACTGTATGAGTACTAAAGAATTGTATGAAATGGTTGATTGATTTGATTAGTGGAGATCAGTATACTTATACAGAAAAGATTACACGAGATTTACATGGAAAGGATCCTATCTAATCCTATACAATCTCTATCATCAATAACAGAATTATCTCTATATATAGTAAAATACAATTACAGTGTAGTAACTTCTTTACTCCCCATCAAGTTGGAGCATAGAGATTCATAATGTCCAACTTGCACAAAAACATATGAAACTAATCTCGAGATAAAGCTTTAGTGAAGAAGTCGGCCAACAGAGAAACAGAAGCAATAGGACGAGGCACCAAAAGCTTGGACTGAATATGATGGCGAACAAAATGACAATCGATCTCAATGTGTTTAGTGTGCTCATGAAAAACTGGATTAATAGCTATATGGATAGCCGCTTGATTATCACAGTAAAGAGGAATTGGATGAGAATGAGGCACTTGTAACTCAGAGAATAACCGAACTAACCAGACAAGTTCACTGGTAGTGTTGGCCATAGCCCGATATTCTGCCTCGGCAGTGGAACGAGAGACCACAGTTTGCTTCTTCAACCGCTAGGAAATCGGTGAAGAGCCCTAAAACACAATGAAACCTAGTGGTAGATTTACATGTGGTGGAACAACCTGCACAATCAGCGTCACAATAAGCGCGTAACTCCAAAGAGTTGGAGGAAGGAAGCAAAATACCCTGGCCTGATAGTGCAAAACCCGGATTGCAGCATCAAAATGTGGTTGTCGTGGTTTTTGCATAAACTGGTCGAGGACATGAACGACATAACTAATATCAGGACGAGTGATCGTCAAATAGAGAAGACGACCAACAATGCGACGATATCTGCCAAGATCATCAAATAGTTCCCCAGTGTCAAAAGTAAGACGATGTTGTTGTTCCATTGGTGTAGAGACCGGCCGACAACTAGTAAGACCACACTCTGCAAGAATGTCAAGCGAATATTTGCGTTGACTAAGAGCAACCCAGAAGATGATCGGGCAATTTCAATGCCCAAAAAATATTTGAGGGGACCAAGGTCTTTGATGCGGAAATGACTGTAAAGATATGCCTTGAGCTTGCCAATCCGGTGAGAGTCATTTCTGGCCACAATGATGTCATCAACATAAATTAAGACAACAAGAAAACAAGTACCACGATGAATATAAAGAAGGAGGAATCAGAAGAAGATTCTGTGAAGCCATCTGAAAGAAGGGAACTTGTAAACTTATGATACCAGTTCCGAGAAGCTTGGCTCAAACCATAAACAGGCTTCTGAAGACGGCAGACACGTTGCTCCCCCTTACGAGCAAAACCTTGAGGAATTTTCATGTACATTTCCTCATGAAGATCACCATGTAAAAAAGCGCTAGTGACGTCAAGTTGGTGTAGCTCCCAATGACGTACTGAAGCAACGGCAAGTAAGCACCGGATAGTAACCAATTTGGCCATGGGAGCAAAAGTCTCATGAAAGTCAATACCTTCGATTTGAGTGTAACCCTTTGCAACAAGACAAGCTTTGTAGCGCTCAACACTGATATCAGGATTAATTTGACCTTATACACCCATTTGGAATCAATGGCTCACTTTCCAGGTGGTAAAGGGACAAGAGTCCAAGTGTGATTGGCTTCCAAGGCAGAGATTTCTTTAGCCATGGCATCTCTCTAATGTGCATGCTTGACTGCTTGAACAAAACACGTGGGCTCATCTTCAGAAGAGATGGCCGCTAAAAGAGATAAATGAGCTTTAGAAAAGCGTGTATAGCACAAGTTTTGACTGAGAGGGTGTACCGTTGAGTCAGGTATTGGAGAGGGCGATGACGATGATGGATTATTAGGTAAGAGAGAAGGTGGAAGGACA